ATCAGAGTGAATTGAGTCTGGCTAAAGGGGCAGATAAACCTGAATACCATCATCAAAACAATGGAAAGGAATCTTACATTTACTAAAAATGGACCCAGAGGCAACATGTAAAGATTAAAAAGCAGTGGGCCTAGAATAGAGCCTTGAGGGACCCCACAAGTCAGAGGAGGTGTAGAGGAGGAGCATTCTCCGACCTAAATTAACAAAAAAAAAAACTATTTGTCAGGTAAGATCTAAATAAGGATAAAACTGCACTTTGATACCAACCAGCTGCTCCAGTAAGTTGTGACAGTAAGATGTTATGATCAATGGTATCAAAGGCAGGATCTAAAAGCACTAAAACAGCAGAAATGTCTGAATCAACAGTTAAAAGATCATTAAAAACTCTTAAAAGTGTCGTTTCAGTGCTGTGGCAGTAATTAAAACCTGGCTGGAACTTTGTCTTTAAAAAAAAAACCTTGGAGTTGGATAAAAACAACTTTCTCTAAAACCTTTGACAGAAAAGACAGTTTTGAAATTGGTCTAACGTTTGTGAGAACTCCTGGATCAAGTCCCCTTAATATGAATATGCAGATATTTATTGAGAAGTTTTGCACTTTTTGGAGATTACAGGAACAAGGACTGGTGATTTCCCTTTTTCTATGAAATAAAACTGATTCTGCACTTTCACTTCTCTACAAACCGCCTTAAGACATCTGAAAAGCTTAAGCAACAATACCTGACTGACGGAGTTACTACAGGAAACATCGGCACGCCTCTAGTGCACAATGTCCCGCCAAAAACACGCTGCAGAACAGAGAATTGTCTGTTTGACCCAAGGGCAGCAGGAGGGTCAAGAATCATAATCTGATATCTACGACATTTTACTGATGACACATTGCAGGAATATCACATGGAAAAGATGCATTTTAAAATGGAAAATTGTATATGATCAAAATAAAATGATAAGTTGCTCCACCAGTGCCTGCCTTCAAAACACTTTCTCTGTTGAAGTACAAGTTTATCTATGTTGTCAGCTGTGCACTCAACTGACTTGTACAAAATCAACTCGAGTAAACATCCTGCTGATGATGATTCCTAAGAACACAGACTGTTGTTTCAGCTTCTTTAAATCAACGAGAAGCTGGCAGACGTTCTGGAAAAACCAGATGTGAGTTGTAGAAATATTCTAGTTATTTTATACAAGCTGTAAGTCATGAGTAAATGTTCATGAGAAAGTTACAGCGGGTAAAATAAGTATTGAACACGTCACCATTTTTCTCAGTAAATA